AAACGTTGAAATTAATCATTTCAATTTCTCTGAGATTTTACAGGTATAATTTTACAAATGTCTACTTCTCACTCGGGGACTAATCATTTTAAAACTATTTGGTCAAATCTTGATCACAGTTCATATTAATTTAAGAAATCACCTTCATGAATACATTTCCACTACGACAAATTGTACACCTAAGGCGTCTTCAGTGCATTACAGTAATAAAACGTCTTAATCAATAAAAATAAGTTATTTTATTTTGCCTGCATACGTTTCCAGTTCTGAAATGGATTACAGCAGAGGGGAAACACGATACCTATAAAACCTCATTTTTACTTATGTGTATATGTTAGTCTAGAAACATTTTGAAACTGAATATAATAATCAAAAACATCATCATATATGAATATTTAGCTACACACTGAAATGCCGTTTGCTTTGCTTGGTATAGGAATGTTATTGAATAGTGAGTAAAGAAGATGGTGTGGGAGTTGTTGCTGAACGAGCTACATTTGAATATTCTTGATACTTTTTATTCTGTAGAAGCTTCATACCACACTGCAAAACGAAACCAACATCTGAAATAATCTAAGGTGTACAAAATTCCTTCTGATGTTTCTTTGTTTCCTGAGTTTTTAGTGACACAGTCGTATTTGATTGGTTGGAGGATTTCATCATGAGCTGACATCAGTTAGAGAACTATTGGAAAACCAGCCAGGGAGTACTGGACAGCTGTTTCGGCCTAGTCTTCGGGACTCTTCACAGTACGCACCCATCGAGGTTCGAACCTAGGATCTTCTGGTTACAAGGCGAGCTACCTCGTAGACCATTAAGCCAGTTTTACCCGACCCAACGGCCAGCCAGTCCATGCATTCTAATTTCTGACAATTCATGACATAGCGCAAGGTGAGGCAGTAACTCATCGAAGAAGACATTGTGAAGTGGTCGCGCTATGTCATGAATTGTCAGAAATTAGAATGCATGGACTGGCTGGCCGTTGGATCGGGTAAAACTGGCTTAATGGTCTACGAGGTAGCTCGTCTTGCAACCAGAATATCCTGGGTTCGAACCTCGATGGGTGCGTACTGTGAAGAATCCCGAAGACTAGAGCCAGTACTTCCTAGCTGGTTTTCCAATGGTTCCCTAACAGATGTCGGCTCACGATGAAATCATCCAACGAATCAAACTAAATCCCTACAAAAACCAATACTTGAACAGTCATACATGACACATAATACACCTTACCTTCCAACTCATTGAAACATGGTCACAGATGATGTTTTGAAAATCTTAACCTCTAAACATAGAGAACAAGACTGAGAAAATCAATATTCGTTTCAAATTGTTTACTGTCACGCGTCATAAAATTATTCAAGCCAATAGAAAGTGATTTGTTGGAAAAACATTTTACTCACACTCCGTGGTGCTGAAATGACTTATCATTACTGGAGTCAGTAAACTTCCTAATCTTAGGCTTATACACATGACTATTGACTTAGACATAAAACAGCACAAGTTCTTTCGAGGTATTCACAAATAACAAATGTTGTTAATTAGGAGCCTGGATGGAGTACACATTAGGGCCCAGTAAACACAAAGATTAAGAAACGGTGTGTGACAAACTTTTCGCTTACACACTATAACAGATGGTGAGGTGATGACAGCTGGTGCAAACTTCAAACACCAACCAAACGATGAACAACATATGGGTAAAGGTGAAACTTTCATTTTCATCATACAGACAGGCACAGCATACTTCTACTGTGTGCTGCATGAGGATTTATGTAACAGGATCACACACAATATCTATACATTGATTCAGTCAAAATTTTCGTTATACCATCGGGACCCAAGTTGTCAAATGCATTTGATGATTCGAGACAACAAGGAAATATCCGTTCGGTGAAAAAGAGAAAAAGAATCATTCATCTCACAGGAGGTATAGGGTGGGACAATATTAGTATTCTGATTTAGGAGTAACTGCTCTGAATCACATACACCTGAACAAACATGAATCCTTATATGCTTCTCTGATAGCAAGTCAACTGTAAAATGCCCATTTGCTAACAGAAGGTTACAAGATAGGAATGTCTGAATGTGTATATGGTCTATTTGTTGTATTTTTGACTGCATTCATTAGTTGAATCTTCTAAAACCAGTTTTTTTATCCACAAAACCTTTGTATTAGCGAAGAAAAGATCTTGTCAAGCATCATAAGTGTTTGTGTGGAACAGCAAATAACCAAGTAGAACTAGAAACAGGAAGTGATATTAAAGAGAGTAGCATCCAACATATCACTGACAGAGATGTTCCAGTGTGTATTGCTAAACATACCTTTTACGGGACTCAGTATCTACTTGTGAATAGGTTCTTTGTTGAACTGTATTGGAGAGTTGTCTAATGCAATTCGCTCTACACATTCACCAAAACACAAATAATGCTAAAGAATTATTATGTGCTGTCAATAATGAACGACTATTGTCGACATCCAAAATTTTTCAGTCTTCTTTCCCCTCTCACACTTTATGTTGGTAACTTTATTTGGAAGCCTTTTCGGAAAAGATAAACTGACGGAAACTGAAATTCACGATATATAGGAAGATGATATATTCAAATAAATATTGGAATGTTTTTCATCTCTTCATTAATTAAGAATGAAATTTTCAATAGCTTTTAACCTCGTGAACAGAGCTAAAAACATTATAATAGGTAAATGATGGTATGGAGAATGACATCTCCAATATACGACAAGTTCAGTTTTGAAATGGTTACTTATTGATTTCTTCACCATACAAGCATCATCTGAAGTAATTTACAGTGATTTCATCTGACTGAGTGTTCACATCATTTTAGGAAATTCTTAACACCCATGGTCTGAATATTTCCTTCTAGTAAATTCCTCACAATAATTTCATCTTTTGTAATCACAATTAATTATATCTAAGTACCGAGGAAATTACAGCAAGCATTTTAAGATATCTTAGCAAAGCACAATTCTAGATGTTTACTCTTATTTTCGCCTTTTCATAAATTCCGCTGAGTATTTCAGCGTACTAACTACTTTTGAGTAGCTTGAATGATTTTTCAATTTTCCTTCTTACGTACTGACTTTCTCTTCAATTCCAGGATTCTCCCCTCTACTGATCTTAGTTTCTGTTGATTGCGAGAAAAAGCATGCTGGCATTTCACTTACTTTTACTAATGACAGCGGGTATACACTGAATAATGTACGGTTAAGTTTTCGTTTCAGTGAAAGTAATGACTACACCATCGTCAAGTGTCATCCAAAAAACTTGTGCAAATATGCCTACATCTGCCAAACCAATGTTAAGGTTACAACGCATTTCAATTTTTCAGCACTGTCCATTTCTCCAGGTGAAATCGCTAAATTTTCTACTCCAAACCCTGGTAAGTCTGTGTCTACTTTCTTCGGGGAGACCTTGATTCTTCTGTTCTGAGCATCCTAAAATCACTTGGTTATAACAACCTTCCCAAAATTATCATTCACCTGGACGAAAAACTAGACTTGATATTCATGAATGGATGTGATATATACATGAAGATGATGGGACAGTTCCCTTGCTAAATTCTATCCACTGCATTATTAGTGTTTCAGTGAAAGTGAACGGTGAATTACATCAGACAGCTCTCCAACAGAGTTCAACAGAGACCCAATGCACAACACAGTACTGAGTCCCTTAAAAGGTATGTTAAGCAATACAGACTGGAACATTTTTGTCAACGTAATGTTGGATGTCACTGTCTTTAATATCACTTCCTGTTTCTAGTTCTACTTGGTTATTTACTGTCCCACACAAACACTTCTGATATTTGACAAGATCTCTTCTTCGCTACTTCAAAGGCTTTGTAGAGAAAACAATTGGTTTCAGAATATTTAACTAATGAATGCAGTCAAAATTACAACAAATAGACCATATACATATTCGGACATTCCTATCTTCTAACCTTCTGTTGGCAAATGGGCATTGTGCAGTTGACTTACTATCAGGGAAGCATATTCTCATTAACGCGTGTTCGGATGTATGTGATTCAGAGCAGTTACACCTAAATCAGCAAACTGATATTGTCCCACTCTATACCTCCTGTGAGATGAATGATTATTCTCCTGCTTGTCACTGAGCGGATATTTCCTTGCTGTCTCCAATCATTTGATGCATTCGACAACTTGGGTCCCGATGGTATAACGAAATTTTTGATTGAATCAATGTGGAGATATTGTGTGTGATCCTGTTACATAAACCTGCATGCAACACAGTAGAAGTATACTATGCCTGTCTGTATGATGAAAATGAAAATTTTACCTTCACCCATATGTTCATCGTTTAGTGTCATCACCCCTGGGTTTTCGAAAATCTTAGAATAGTTAATTTGACATGCGTTTATCTCTTTAATAAGGGCTGTAACTTAACCGAAATAATTTGCACACAACTACCCTCTTTTTTCGGACTTGTGACAAGTAAGAAAGCTTGAAAACTAGTGAAATAAGGCAAGGTTTCGATGAAATTGCATTCTCATTAGTGATCACTAATGTTCTTCTTCAGTTTCACACTAAGCAATCTCTAGTTTCCTCTAAACATCAGGAATTTTGAATCATGATAATTTTGAACTCAAAGAATGCGACGACAGTCACATTTCTGATTCGATAAGCGATTGATGTAGTCAGCCTTCTCGTAGATACATTTTTTCTTAGGACTCAAAAGTCATTCGTGTGTTTTGTTAGCAGAGAATGGCAGTATCCAGTTGGATGCAGTATCAGTTCTATTAAGCAATCATTTGGACTCTAAACAACTGGAGTACTAACCACCTCAGTGGAGTTTTGGCCTAACAAAATACTTTCGAGATTACTGTGGACATTCACTCAAATAGACGACAATTACGTTTTAGAATGAATCAATTTTATTATGATAAATATGAATTTAGAAAGGTTAATGCTTCAATAAAACAATGATTACAAATGAGAGAATTTAAACATTTGAGTGGTTAATGTGGTGTTTTCAACAAAATATCAAAGATATTTGCAGATGGCTGTTGCATTTGCAAACGCTGATGTTGCAGACTGCATTCCGTAGGCAACTAAAATTGGAGAAAAAAGATTTGTTTTAATTAAAACAAACACTGATACATTCCTAATAGACTTATAGACTACTAAAAATATCAGTCAAACCTCAACTCATAATTAAACCAAGTGTTAAGCCTTCTTACTTTACTCCTCTGGAAGAAAGTGAAATGTAATCATCACTGATTAAACTCTGGTTTACTAATCACATTAGTTCAGATGTCACTGTATTATCGAAAAGTAAAATTTATTGTTACGTGACAAGATTTATGAGTAGTACATAGATGCAGATATAAATATTGATGTCATCTTCAAGAATATCGAATAATGAAGGAGGAGGATTTAATGGTGGAGACAATGAGATGAACGTTACGTTAGGCGACATAGGTGGATTTATATATATGGCAAATAGATAACTGAATCTCGGTGTTATTCAGTTCTCTGAGATGATTCACTTTTCGGATAGCTGAAGATCGAAAAGGAAAACATTGAAGCCAGACAATGCAACAATGCAACAAATGAGTTATAAGTCTTCATTAATTCACATAAATGTGTAGGTTTAATAGACGAGTTGTAGTTAACTAATTCAAGAATGTGAATCATTCCCCTTGATCAACTTCAACCTGACGGAATATGTAGTGTTATCAGCCTTCACAAATTATGTGTGTCACATAGCGTAGAACACCTGATTACCGCTTGTCAATAACGGGCTGAAAGTTCTATCTTAAGATTAAAAGGGACCTGGTAACCGCTGCTGTGGAGCCAGTTACATATGCCGTTCAATTAGGCGTTTTTCTCTTTGGATTTCCGAATATCTTCATTTCATGGTCTTCTCTGCAGTCCTTCTTAAATAACTCCACGATTCCCCATCAGTCTGCATCTTCTCCTAATGAGATTTCCTCCAAGATACTCTTGCACACACACTCAGTTCACATATTCGGGTTCATCAAGACTATGATCAATATGAGCAATAAGTTATGCTTTGAGAAGAGACTGATTGTGTATCATCAGTAATTCTCGATGTTTGGTAGTTCACAACACATTTAAGGGAACAATATTGTTTTACACAGCACACCTATGTTTGTTATTTTCTAGCCGATGAATGATTGGGACACGAACGAAGGATAAGCTTGATAGTTTTGCCACACATCTATGTGCATTTATCAATTCGACTGCACCTGCGGTGACATTTACATTGGGCGTACTATTAGACAGCTTAGCCAACGTGTAAGTGAACATCTCCCGTCGTGGTTTGGCAAAGGACAGACAAAAACAATCCGTAGCTCAATTTTGTTACATTTAATTGATAGTGGTCATGTGGTGGAGAAAACGAGAGCTTTCAGAGTAATTCATCGTATCCCACTGAATCTTTCCAATAGACTTCGTATTCGTCTACTGCACACAGCTGAGGCGATAGGCATTCGAACTATTAAACCTAAACTATGCATCCAAAAGAAGTTCGTACAGCCATTATCCCTCCCTTGCTTAACCTATTAAGACATAACCAACTGATGACTTCTACACCACCCCTTACTTATATTTTCAACCCCTCTCTTATCATCCCTTAATCTTATCACATCTTCATTAAAAGTGTATTTCATTTACTTCCCTTACAATCTAGCATTACTTAATCGGTTCATTTGTTTTTACTGGCCTTTATCGACTGCTCCCACCCGAGCATTTTTTTGTTTAATCATGCTGTTTTCCATTATTCGTGTTATCACAGATTGCCTCACTATTTCATCCTTGTTATCGATAAAACCATTTTTATTATTAATGTTATCATTACTACTATTATGACTAATTGCAAAATTTATATTCACCATCTTATTATCCTATGGACTAAACACCATGATTGGTTTATATTTGAATTTTTATTTGTAAACTTATGTATATTAGAGTTAAACCTGATGAGATCTAATTGAAAACAGCAATATTGTTCGCTAAAATGTGTAGTTCAACTATTTTTCAAATTATTTACGTACCTACTTCTGCATCATTCCATGAGAAACGTGACTAGAATTCACTATGTATGTATGCTCTCACATACATTCAGGTGCAATGTGGTGATGTAATCTAGTCATTTGAGCAATGCTCAGTTATGTTGTAGAGCATGGGAATGACATTCTCTATTCCCAAACAATATAAATTAATTCTCGATTGTAAGTGAAATTAGCCCTGATATTTTCATGTAAGAAAAATTAGACTGTAGGTTTTCAAAGCAGGTTCCAGCAACACCTTTTCCAAAACATTATTAGCATAAGTATATTGGGAAAAAAGGCATTTATGACAGAAATGGATAATACAATACTGGTGAGTATAAAAATTAAAACAATATATATCAGATTTCATATTAGTAAAAACATACATTCAATTCCTGAAAGCAACATCACAAATTAGCACACATCAATATACAAAATAAAAAATAAAGATTTACACAATACAAAAATAAACAAATTTTCTCTACGAAGCTCTGAACCTATTACAAAACTCATTCACCATCAATAAAAACACGTTACAACAAATAGAAACCTTAGTATTGCTCATGGGTCACGCAAACTGCATATACTCGATAAGTCTGATGTCAGTACGACATTACGCCAGTGAAATATTCAACACACATATTCCAGTCTTCTGTCAACATATATGTAAGAGTGGCGAACTCATAACGTCAACAACACTGACACAACGCACGTTATTCAGAGGCACTAGAATGACATACCTAGTGGTTCAGACACCATTGAAATTGTCATCTGCTGAGGTCATGCACAGACAGCACTGGTTGTACTCTCAACGTCTTTTCAGCTGTCAAGCTTTTGGCTAACCAGTTGTAGCGAACTCAGGGGTATTTTAAGAATTCACAATTCCCAGTGAGATACTTCTTCTGGTTAATCCACGTGATTGACAAATGATTGTGTGGTGAATATACTGTCATTTTCAGCGGATACTGGCAAATGTTATCCTCTGTCTATTTAGATTTTAAATTGATATCTCGTTTACACTTGCCTCCCGTTCTGGCTTGTCGAGTTTCTAGCACAGAGTGAATGCGTCGCTTCTGTCAGAAAGTTAATTTTTATTATTTTTACTCATCTAACATTCACACCGACCTACTTATTTGATACTGGTGTGTTCTGTGTGCAAATGTGTGATTATTTGTCCACCAGGTGAATACGAAGTACCCATGTTTGCACCACATATAACAACTTGCACCTCTGTTCCACATGTGAATCTAGTCAAATTTTATACTCTTACACAGTGCATCGTAAAATATGCAGACATATATATACCCTGTAGTATGGTGACCAACAAATTGGAGTGTTCAATCAAAATTTCGAAAATTTATTCAACGGTTTCTCAATTAAAGTTTCCCGCTCATTGATTGGGATGTTGAATACTTACGGCGTTGCTCCATTCCTTCAAGAGAATTCCATTTCCAAAAGTAAATGGTGTATTAGTACAACAAAATAACATCGCAAACAAAGAAATTGAAATGGCTAAATGTTCAGGATTATCGCGAATTCTTCCCACCGATGGACAATCAAGTAGCACGACAGACACAATTTTGTCACAAACATTTTCCATCAGTAATACAAGGCAATATGGTAGTACTGAATACTTCCATGTGTATTCGAAACAGAGATCAACACTTCTGGCTCACGTACATCCACTACACTATGACTGGGAACATTCCAACATCAGAGTAACAGAAATTCAGCATCATCTACATTTCGATGTCTGACAGGCAAGTCCTGTCCTAGATCTCCACACCGAATAGAGAAATTGTACGAAAAATAAGTGAATAACACCAGACTCGGTGAATATGAGCACTCGGTAGTCGATGTCTGGATATACATGCGGACTCAGATGATGACCTCACACAATTTCAGTAAAAGTAAACAGAAAACATGATAATTCTGAATAACTGTTGAGCGAAATTTCGATTGGTGTGGATTTTGTTCATCTCCACTCGACAATGACATTCAACAATACTCACTGAAAACTCGAATTCTCTGATTTACAAAAATACTCACCTTTATAACCCTCTTTAAACAAACAGGCATCAGTTGAATTAGGCATTTAGAATTAAAATATTATGACATTTATAGAAAAACATGCAGTAGTCATGGAGTTATGTGGCTTGACTGGGATTAGAAAAAAGGCCTAATTTGCTACCGAAGATCCATTGAGAGTATACCCTGACCACTTCGTTCCCTTGAAATCTCAATTTTGAGACTTCATTGAAAATGAGAACCGAATTCCTCTCATCTTCAATTAGATTTCAGATTTTTATGACTGACAGAGAAGTCGACAGTTCTCATATCGACAAAATGAAGGCTCAGTTGAAATTGGAACGATGCTAATAAATGTGTTGCATCAAAAGATGTAATTTCAACGGTAGACGATCACAATGTGATTAATTACTAGGCGCAATGCACCCTGTGTTCTGAATATGGATCTGAGAACACCACTGGAAATCTGTCTGTCAGATTAGGTGTCTAACTCAGCCAATGTGAAAGCAAGGTATGCTGAAACATCGAAAAGTAGTCCGAACGAGTGAACATTAGTTTAATTTGACGAAACCACGAACTTCGTTGTCCTAATTGACTCATCGCATATTCCGTACTCCTTCAAGTGCGTGAACTACCGCGCTTCAGGCGAATAAAAAATTCCTAGTCTCTATCGATATTCATGAATATATCTGGAAATGGAGTATGTTTGATGAAGTAGAGGGTGGCAGAATATGTGAAATGAACAACAGGAAGTACAAGTAGTTATCACTTTTATTTTGTTTTCAGCTTACTTGATGCATATGGAACATCTTGATGAGGATATACAAATATACATTTGATAATTTGCATGACGAGTGATAGAAATTATATACAAAGTAAGTCTGAATGGTGCAAGGAAGAGTAAGTTTCAACACTTATGTATGGCGTTTGTTCAGTCTCTTATCTTAGCATCATCCTCATCTCATTTCTACTTGTATGCTTCTACTTTTAGCAACTAGTTAACCATCATCAGTCTCACTTCTCTCTTCTGTGCATCTTATCAAGATATCCTACTCAACTTCTTCACACTCGATTCTCTTCTAATAACAACTTCTCACTTTATCAAATTTCAAAATACCATTCCCATTGTGTCGGTAGTTGTTGAGCGATTTCTCTACACCTGTAGAAACCACATCCTAGTTACTGTATTATTCACGCTTTCCAACTCACCACTTAACAGTATACTCGTATTAGTTTTAGTAAATGTAAATACAACTGTAGAGCCTTTGCGGATGACTTCATCAATACAGAAGACATCCCTCTATTCAGTTTTCTTCTGTTTACGTCAAAGCACACTGAGTTAATTTGTGATCGCCTCAATCATTGAAACAGTAGTGTTGAGTGAGAAAGAAAATTCTGGCCGGTAAGTCACACCAGTATCTCCATCCTCAACAACTCGCAGATACTAATCCATATGGGTTTATAAATGCTCACATGAAAATTCAATCATAAAAATGATTGAAGCAAGGTGTATAAACCTTCACTTAAATGCATCTGTCTCGTTCCTACGAACACATTGAATGACAACCGTATATCAGTATGACCGGAAGCATGCAATTGAGTATATGATACAGTGCAGAGCATAACTGGCTTTCATCAGGATGCATCTGAGATGTAACCATTCAGCCTTCTATTCACCTGTTTCTATCAAGTACCATCGACTTCCGTGTCAACAACGCCGGACACAATGCATATGATATCTCAAACAGGAAGCAGTTGTGTCTCGAATCAAGTACAGTTTGTCAGTTAAATTCATAACTCAATGTGGAAGTCAATCATTAAACATCGAAATTCCGCTTTCATCGCTCTCCACTGTGTTAAACGCAACTCGTTATTAACTTACTGTCAGCGTTTTTGACACCTGTGGAGAAAGGGTAAATAAATATCCTCAGTGCACTATACATGTCGGCTCGATGCTACGAAAAGCGAAAAACTGATAATCATAGGATTAAATATAAGTTACTCTCATTCTCCAGGAACACAGTGGTTGGATAGAACTACCAGTGAAATTGGTCAACGTTAGTGGCACACTCACACTTCATCTAGACAACAGAGTTGTTATTCTCCATAATAGAAAACAGTTGTATGGTTATAACCACAGCAACACAGCATTGGTTATTTCCCGATGATCTGCTGTGCAGAATTCACCACCGAAAATCACATCAAGGTCAACTTTATATGGAATTACATTCTACAGGAGTGCCTAAATTCTTCTCTGATGTCAAGAGTGTTAAGCGTGTTTCATGAATGGATTGACAATATTTGTGTATTCATCATGTGGTCTCACCGACCAGTTTGATGATACAGTGATGCAGTTGGTGTGCACACAGAATGCTACACTTTCGAGAAAACAAACAGCACATGAATTTCGTCCCACTCATATGATGTTGGTTGAGCCAACCGTGCTTCATTCTACGTCGTCATTAGTGAGATGCACGATAGTACGCATTATGGAAATAATTAGTAATAATCAGTCTGTATCAGTTATGCAGTTCCATCTCAAAACATTCATTGTGAACGAGCATTTTCTTTTCTCAGGTGGCGTTCAACTGGCCTGAGAGAGTTTCGACACAAATGGAGATTAGAGCAAACTGGTCTACAGCTAGACGACAAATGCCATGTCACCAACACTTCCATCAGAAGTCAGCTATCCTAATTCACTTCTGACTTCAGTATTTTCGAATTTCACTGACGACAGAACACACTATCCTGATACATACACGAGACAAGAAGTAGTACATTCACCTGAGTATGTGATAACTGAGCGGCGATACTAGTGAGAGAGAGAGACTGTCTACATTTGCATCGCTTTGACAGACTGCTTTCAATGTGATGGACCAGTGGTTGAATTTGAAGTCGAAATGATCATCAGAAATAAATTTCCACATCACCGGTTTCCAGTGGTGACATTCCTCTAATATTCTTTTATACTACGTATCGCATATACGGTGTTAGATATTCTTAAAATACGCGATATTAATGATGACGCTTGTTTTCGACTGACTTACTACCAGGAAATTTATCTGATTGAGAAGGAATAAAACAACCACATAACTATTAAATTCTGAAAAGATAATACTACCTCTGTTAATGATGAAACGAACAGTTACATTACTCCTTCTCAAGAATGCTCTTTGAAAAATCACATCCGGATTGTTTCAATCGATGCAATTTACTGTGGTGACAAGCGGTTCAAGATCTAATCATCATTATCACCGGATTCGGGTCGCTGATTCAGTTTTACGTTTTGTGCTGCTAAAATTCACAATGACTATTTCCGCGTGAACAATCAATAGTGAGGTGTATGTTGCATGACTTGCAAGTGGCATCATCACGGAGATAGGAAACATTAACTCGACCAAACATTATTAGCATACTATCCTCTAACTTCAAATCACTCAGCATGTTGTGCTTGTTATGGGCTCCAGTGTGCAATGACTCAGGTGAGTTGACTTAGGAGCATACCAGAATCGGGACGCTAATAGGCTGACAGTCTCCAGACATCCGTTTGAACTTCTTCAGGATACCTCTTTCACAGTTTATCATGATTATTGGGTTAGAAAGCGGCTCCGATTGCAAAATAGATGAGAGCGTTATGAATCTGTGAGAGCAGATGGAAGGGAAATCGACCCTTCAAATTGTTAACTAGAGAGAAAATAGTCCACTCCGATCATTAAGGTGACTGCCACGAACACATTGAGGGAGTTTCAATCATGATATCTTCAGCGGGATCTAAGGCTCGTATGCAATGAGAGGCAATCTCCTCCGGGAGGATGGCAGCAAGATTCAACTCGAAAGATAGGAAGGTTACAATTATCCAATGTGGTGTTGTAATCTAGTCTTTTGATTAATGCTCAGTTATGTTGTAGAGCATGCGAATGACATTCTCTATTCCCAAACAATATAAATTAATTCTCAATTGTAAGTGAATTTAGCGTTGATATTTTCATGTAAGGAAAACTACAACGTAGGTTTTCAAAGCAAGTTCTAGAAACGCGTTTCCGAAACATTATTAGCATAAACATATTGGGAAAAAAGGCATTTATGACAGAAATGGATACAACAACACTGGTGAGGATAAAAATTAAAACAATATATCAGATTTCATATAATTAAAAACATACCTCTAAGTCCTTAAAGCAAAGTCACCAATTAGCACACATCAATATACAAAAATAAAAAACAAAGATTAACAGAATACAAAAATTAACCAATTTTCGCTCCGAAGGACTAAACCATTTACAAAACTCATTCAAAATTAATAAAAAGACGTTTAAACAAATACAAACGTCGGTATTGTTCACGTGTCACGTAAACTGCATATACTCGATAATTCTCAAGTCAATACGACATTGCTCCAGTGAAATATTCAACACACATATTCCAGTCTTCTGTCAACATATATGTAAGAGTGGCGAACTCATAACGTCAACAACACTGACACAACGCACTTTATTCAGAGGCAGTACAATGCGAAATTTCAAACGCCAGTGAAATTATCATCTGCTGAGGTCATGCACAGACAGCACTGGTTGTACTCTCAACGTCTTTTCAGCTGTCAAGCTTTTGGCTAACCAGTTGTAGCGAACTCAGGGGTATTTTAAGAATTCACAATTCCCAGTGAGATACTTCTTCTGGTTAATCCACGTGATTGACAAATGATTGTGTGGTGAACATACTGTCATTTTCAGCGGATACTGGAAAATGTTATCCTCTATCTATTTAGATTTAAAATTGATAATTCTTTCACACTTGCCTCCTGTTCTGGCTTGTCCAGTCTCTAGCACAGGGTAAATGCGTCGCTCCTATCATTAAGTTAACTTTTATAATTTTTTAGCATCTAACACTCACACCGACCTAATTATTTGATACTGATGTGTTCTATTTGCAAATGTGTGATTAGATTTCGAACAGGTGAATGCACAGTTCCCACCACATACAACAACTTGGACCTCTATTCCACGTGTGAATCTAGTCGTGACCAGTAGGTTGCAGCAGGTCGGGTGTGAGGACAAATACTCGCCGAAGACATTGGCTAGTGGTTGCGCTATATCATGAACTGGCAGAAGTTAGAATTCATCGGCCATTGGATCGGGTCCCGGTGGCTTAACTGTATACGAGCAAGCCTTGAAACCAGAAGGACCTGGGTTCGAAACCCGGTGGTTGCGTACTGCTGAAGAGCCCCAAACTAGGACGAAACAGCTATCCAGTACTCCCAGGTTTTCCAATCGTTCTCTAACCAATGTCAGCTCATGATGAAACACTCTAGCCAATCAAATTCTATACTCTTACACAGTTGATTTTAAAATATGTATACATATATATACCCTGCAGTATGGTGACCAACATATTGGAGTGTTCAATCGAAATTTCAATCAACGGTTTCTCAAATAAAGTTTCCCGCTCAACGATTGGAATGTTCAATACTTACGGCGTTGCTCCGTTCCTTCAAGAGAATTCCATTTCCAAAAGTAAATGGTGTATTAGTGCAACAAAATAACATCGCAACCGAAGTAATAGAAATGATTAAATATTCATGATAATCACGAATCCTATTCATCAGGGAGCGATCAAGTAACACGAAATATACAATTTCGGCTCAAAGCTATTCTATCAGTAATACAAGGCAATGTGGTAATACTGAATACTTCCATGTGTATTCGAAACACAGATCAGTAATACTGGCTCACGTACATCCACTACACTATCACTGGGAACATTCCAACATCAGAATGACAGAAATACAGCGTCATCTAGATTTCGATGTCTGACAGGCAAGTCAGTGCACTGCTGCAACTGTCCTAGGTCTCCACACCGAATAGAGAAATAGTACGAAAAATACGTGAATAACACTAGAGTCGTTAAATATGAACACTCGGTAATCCATGTCTGCATCTACATCCGGACTCAGATGATGACCTCACACAATTTCAGTAAAAGTAAACAGCACAAATGATAATTCTGAATAACTGTCGAGCAAACTTCCGAGTGGTCCGTCCTATGTTCATCTCCACTCGACAATGACATTCAACGATTCTCACACTGAAAACTCAAATTCTATGATTTGCAAAAATACTCACCTTTATCATTATCTTTAAAAAAAGACAGGCATCAGTTGAAGTACGCATTTAGAATTAGAACATTATGACATTTATAGAAAAGCATGTAGTTCTCATGGAGTTATGTGGCTTGACTGGGATTAGGAATACGGCTTAGTCTGCGACCGAAGATCCATTGAGATTATACCCTGACCAGTTAACTCCCTTGAAATCTTAATTCTCAGACTCCATTGAAAGTGAGAACCTAACTCTTCTCATCTTCAAAGAGATTTCAGATTTCTGTGACTGACCGACAAGTCGACAATTCTCACATCCACAAAACGAAGGGTCATTTAAAGTTGAAACGCTGCTAATAAATGTGTTGCATCAACAGCTGGAATTTCAACGGTAGATCATCACAATTCGACTACCAACCAGGCGCAATTCAACCTGTAATCTGAATATGGATCTGAGAAGACCACAGGAAATCCGTCTCTCAGTTGGAGGTGGCTAACTCAGCCAATGTGTAGGTTAGGTGTGCTGAAACCTTGAATAGTTGTTCGAACGAGTGAACATCAGTTTAATTCGACATAACTGGGAACTCCGTTTACCCAATTCACTCATCGCACATTCTGTACTCCTTCGAGTTCGTGAACTACCGCGCTTCAGGCGCATAATAAAATCCGACTCTCTATCGATATTCACGAAGATATCTGGAAATCGAACATGTTTGTTGAAGTAGAGGGTGGTAGAGTATGTGAAATATGTGAACAACAGGATGTACAGGTAGTTATCACTTTCAATTATTTCAGCTTACCTGATGCATATGGAACATCTTGATGAGGATATACAAATATACATTTGATAATTTACAAGACGAGTGATAGACTTTATATACAAAGTAATGCTCAGTGGTATAAGGGGCACTATGCTTTGACACCTTCGTATGGTTTGAAGCACTAAGGATTCATCAGTCCAACACTGAAATCTTTGTGTAGAAGAGATTTGTTCAGTCTCTTATTCTAGCATCATCCTCATCTCATTTCTACTTGTGCGCTTCTACTTTTAGCAATTAGTTAACCATCATTACTCTCACTTCTGCCTTCTGTGCATCATATCAAGATAACCTACTCACCTTCTTCACACTTTCTCAATGACCATTCAATCACTTTGATTCTCATCTAATAACAACTTCTCACTTTATCAAATTTCAAAATACCATTCCCATTGTGTCGGTAATTGTAGAGCAATTTCTCTACACCTGTAGAAACCACATCCTAGTTACTGTATTATTCACGTTTTCCAACTCACTCAATAGTAGACTCGTATTAGTTTTGGTAAATGTAAATACAACTGCACAGCCTACGCAGATGACTTCATCAATACAGAAGACATCCCTCTATTCAGTTTTCTTCTGTTTACGTCAAAGCACACTGAGTCAATTTGTGATCGCCTCAGGAATTGAAACATTAGTGATGAGTGAGAAAGAAAATTCTGGCCGGTAAGTCACACCAGTATCTCCATCCTCACCAACTCGTAGATACTAATCGATATGGGTTAATAAACGCTGACATGAAAATTCTATTGTAAAACTAGTTGAGGCAGTGTCTATAAACCTTCACTAATATGTAACTCTCTGGCTCCTACGAACACATTGAATGACAACCGTATTTCAGTATGACCAGAAGCATATAATTGACCACATGATAGAGTGTAGAGCACAACTTTCCTTCATCAGGATGCATCTGAGATGTAGTCATTCAGCCTCCTGTTCACCTGTTTCTATCAAGTAACATCGACTTCCGTGCCCACAAGGTCGAACACAATACATGTGATATCTCAAACAGAAGGCAGTTGTGTCTCAGATCAGGTGTGATGTGTCTGTTAAGTACGTAACTCAGTGTGAAAGTCAATCAGACTACATCAAAATTCCGCTTTCATCGCTCGTCACTGTGTTAAACGCAACTCGTTGTTAACTTACTGTC